ACTCCCCACCACCACCCACCACCCACCCCAAACCACCCACCACACACCAACCCCCTTAGTTTTTTTAGTTAACGAGATTGTAAGTGTCTTATATTTGTGTGCCAAGGGTAAGAAGAGTAAAGTGATTGTAAGTGTCTAATATATGTGTCTATTACAACGGTAATAAGAGTGAAATAAGTATTAAGTCATAATTTCGCGGTCAAATCCAGCTAGTCTTCGTGCCCTCATGTTTAAACAGTGTCTTGTTATTTCATTACATTTCCTGTAATTGCATATAAGAATAATGAGATTAAACAAATAATACTACTTAATTTTAAAAAAAAAACACGATTTTAAGTGCAACGTTTTCATTTAAAAATTAGAAAGGATAATTATTATATTATTTTTTTTTTAATTAAAAAAAAAATGGAAATTAAAATGATGTCGACAAAAGTAACGTCTTTGTTTAAAGACTACGCACATTTTATTAAGCCATAACAATTAAGACAACGATATTGATGTACAGCGTAGTCACTGATTTCAATAATACGAAATAAATGATCAAGTCACCCCGAATTTTATAAGTCTACATAAATGTTATCTTGAAACGTTAAACGAGTTTACACGTTTATGTTGTATAACAAAAGTATAGCAATAGTGCCTACTATCCCCCCCCCCCCCCTTTTTTTTTTTAGTTTGGTTTCCGCTTATAAATAACGTTTTTGGAACATTTTCAAAAACGCTTGAGGCGGTGTGAGCGGGGTAAAAATTGAACAGTTCCATTGCGTCACACTGAAAGTTGTTTATTTACTAATATTAGTCTGTAGCCCTGAGACTGGTTGCAACGTGCAGACAGACCTGGTGCTCGGATTTAAATATGTGCTCTCTTAAAGTTTTGTAGAGATAAGAGGAAATTATAGATCTCAGACTAATTAGACCACTTCTTATCAGGCTGTCGACGAATCCGTCTTACAAAATAGCCTTGACCCCCCCCCCTGCCCCCTCCACACCCCCACCCGTCGGCCTCCAAACCAAACGAACCTTTCAATAGAAGTGACTTACAATTTTTTCCTGTTGTTCTCCAATGAGAACGTCCAGATGCATGCTCTAAAAAAAAAATTTAAGACGTTACATAAACGCTAAGTCGCGTTTGCAATTCCTGGTCATGAAAATCGTGCAAAGATAAATTTTATTTGTAGCACTATGTATTTCTCTTGAAAGATACAAAGGGCTGCCACACTTTGGGAAATTTCTCAAGATCTTGGGAATTCACTACCCTATCCAGGACAAAAATTCACTTTAAACAAAAAAAAATCCCAAGATAATTTCCTTTTTTTTTAAAAAAAAACAACTCTTATATATTATCACGATCTTGGGAAATCTTGTGAAGTATTTTGACCAAATCTTGGGAATTTAAAAAAAAAATTGAGTGGTAGCCCTGGGATGAATATGTTAATATATTTTAAGAGTGGAGGCGAGAGACGTAGGCGTTCAAACGTCTGTTGAAAGTCTGGGCTGGAAATAGTTCTGAAATCGTGAGATCTCCGTACCAGCATGGCATCCGTCATCCCACTAACTCCAGATATACACGACAGTGTTATGCACTCGCGGATAGCAATGTTCGTTCCCGTCCTCAATTTGAAATTTGTATCCTAATGTGAACACTGTTTTAGTGTTTAAACCTTGTTCTAGCATTGTAACACGTGTCCTTGCTCTGTAGCCCATGTCGTAGCTTTTTACCCCAAGACCCCTTTTTGTAACACGTGTCCTAGTTTTGTAACCCCATGTCCTAGCATTGTAACCACTGTCCCAGCATTGTAACCAGTGTCATAATATTGGTAACCTATGTCCTACCATTGTATCACTAGTCCTAGGATTGTAACCCATGTCCTAACATTTAAATCTTTGTCCTAGTATAGTAAACAATATCCTAGCCTTATTAACCATGTCCTTGCATTGTAAACCATGTCCTAGCATTTTAACTCCTTTCATAGCATTTTAACCCCTTTCCTCGCATTTTAACCCATGTCCTAGCATTGTGACCCAACTCCTAACATTGTAACACATGTCCTAGTGTTGCAACCACTTTCCTGACATCGTAACCCATGTCCTAACATGGTAACCCATATCCTAGAACTATACCCCATGTCCTAGCATTCTAACCCATGTCCTAACATTGTAACCCATGTCCTAACATTGTAACCCATGTCCTAACATTGTAACCCATGTCCTAACATCTTACCCCATGTCCTAGCATTGCAACTCGTGTCTAAACATCGTAACCAATGTCCTAGAACTATACCCCATGTCCTAATATTGTAACCTATGTCCTAATATTGTAACCCATGTCCTAACATTGTAACCCATGTCCTAACATTGTAACCCATGTCCTAACATTGTAACCTATGTCCTAATATTGTAACCCATGTCCTAATATTGTAACCCATGTCCTAACATTGTAACCCATGTCCTAACATTGTAACCCATGTCCTAACATCTTACCCTATGTCCTAGCATTGCAACTCGTGTCTAAACATCGTAACCAATGTCCTAGAACTATACCCCATGTCCTAACATTGTAACCCATGTCCTAACATCTTACCCCATGTCCTAGCATTGCAACTCGTGTCTAAACATCGTAACCAATGTCCTAGAACTATACCCCATGTCCTAATATTGTAACCCATGTCCTAACATTGTAACCCATGCCCTGACATTGTAACCCATGCCCTGACATTGGAACCCATGTCCTAATATTGTAACCCATGTCCTAACATTGTAACCCATGTCCTAGCATCGTAACTCATGCCCTTGCCTTGTAACCACTACCTTTCCCTTTTGTATCATTTTTCCAGCCCACGCGTGCGCCCTCGTCTTCTGTCATCGTCTTTTTTTTTTTTTTTTTTTTGAGATGATCAATCATCTCCATCTCTTTTTACTTCAATTTTTAACCGGTGATGCTCTCCTGTCCCCACTGTATGACAAGTATTAAACCAAAGTTATTAAGTTGTTCAGATCATA